CAAAGTTTTAGTTTTTAGATAGATATGACTTTACTCAAGTTCTCTACTTAAGTTCCAATTTAAAGTACTAGTTTGAGTATTTTCTTGTTATGCTACTTTATACTTTTACTCCATGACATTTCAGTGGTACATATTGTTCTTTTTATTGGATACATTTATTTGACAGCATATACATACAAAAAAATGTAGTCTATAAAATACGATGCTTTGTGGTAGATCAAACAACCCAGCAGTATATTTAATTAGAGCTGAAACTATTTGTTGATTAATCAATTTTGAAAATTTAAAACTGAGTTAAGTAAACTTGAGAAACCCAGTTCAATAAACTTATACAGACCCTTTCCAAAATATTTGAATATCATGGAAAAGTTGTTTAATTTCCATAATTCCATTCAAAAAGTTAAACTTTCATAGATTATAGATTCAGGGCCCACAATTTAAACGATTTCAAGTATTTATTTGTTTATTTTTACATAATTTGGGCTTCCAGCTCATAAAACCCACGAACACAGGAATTCAAAAAATTAGAATACTGTGAAGAAATCACCATTTACTTCTCAGTTTTTGCAGAAAAAAAAGAAAGAAATTAGGATCACATCAAATCAATCAAAATATGGTACTTTCAAAACTCTATGTCAGTCTTCAATACTTGGTTGGGAATCCCTTTGCCTCAATCACTGCCTCGATGCGACGTGGCATTGAGGCAATCAGCCTGTGGCATTGCCTGGGAGTTATGGAAGCCCAGATTTCCTTGATGCTTGCTGTCAGCTCTTCTTTGTTGTTGGGTCTGGTGCCCCTCATTTTCCTCTTGAGAATACCCCATAGATTCTCAATGGGGTTTAGGTCCGGCGAGTTGGCTGGTGAGTCAAGCACTGTGATGGCATGGGCATCAAACCAGGTTTTGGTGCTTCTGGCGGTATGGGCAGGGGCCAGGTCCTGCTGGAAGATGAAATCTGCATCTCCATACAGATCCTCAGCAGAAGGAATCATGAAGTCCTCTAAAACATTCTGGTAGACTGTTGCGGTGACCTTGGATTTGAGAAAGCAGAGTTTACCAACACCTGCACCAGACATTGCACCGCAAATCATGACTGACTGTGGATATTTCACACTGGACCTCAAGCAGCTTGGGTTCTGTTCCTGACCCGTCTTCCTCCAAACCCTTGGACCTTGATTCCCGAATGAAAGGCACACTTTACTTTCATCGGAAAAGAGGACCTTGGACAGCTGGCCAACGGTCCAGTCCTTCTCCTTGGCCCAGTTGAGACGCTTCCTACGTTGGCTCAGGTTCAGAAGTGGCTTGACCCGAGGAACCCGACAGTTGTAGCCCATCTCCCGGATGCGTCTGAATGTGGTGGTTTTTGAAGCTGTGACTCCCGCCTAATTCCACTCTTTCTGGATCTCTGCCAGATTCTTGAATCTTCTCTGTTTGATAATCCGCTGAAGCCCACGGTCATCTCTTTTGCTGGTGCATCTTCTCCTGCCACATTTTGCCCTTCCACTAGACTTTCCATTGATATGCTTGGACACAGCACTCTGTGAACAGCCAGCCTCCTTAGCTATGAACTTTTGTGGCTTACCCATCATATGGAGGGAATCAATGATGGTCTTCTGGTCAGTTGTCATGTCTGCAGTCTTCCCCATATTGAACCAAACTGAAGCAATTTAATGACACCTGGGGAAACTTGTGCAGGTGCTTTGAGTTTAGTAGATGATTAGTGCGTGACACTCAGTTTAAAACATTCATGCCCTGCAAAATTTGGGCTGATTTCTTCACAGTATTCTAATTTTTTGAATTCCTGTTTTCGTGGGTTTTATGAGCTGGAAGCCCAAATTATGTAAAAATAAACAAATAAATACTTGAAATCGTTTAAATTGTGGGCCCTGAATCTATAATCTATGAAAGTTTAACTTTTTGAATGGAATTATGGAAATTAAACAACTTTTCCATGATATTCTAATTTTTTGGAAAGGGTCTGTATATATATTTAGTAGAATCGACTGTGAAAAAGGTGCTATGTAAGTTTTGCTAAATAGCCAATGTTAATATAAACAACTGTTTGCTTAAAAGTTTAAAAGAAACATTATTAGTTCAGCATCAAAATTCATTTCCTACTCACCAAGAGCTGTCTGCAGTGGAGCGTGCAGTGGAGCGTGCAGAGCAGCAGATGTGAGCGGTATGACAAGAGGAAGAGGCAGCCAGAGGGAGAGGGACCAGAGAAGTATTTGGACTCTCTGCAGAGGACGTCTTGCATGTTATAATAGTATGAGTAATTATAGACAGAAGCAATGTTTTTTATATACATTAGAAGGCCTTTATTCAGATTTGATTAAAAAAATAAACATTCCTTTAGAGTAGACTTTTTGCCTTGCATTGACTCTATGAACATTTTAACACAGTTTTGTGAGGTAGCAAATGTGCAGACAATAAGGGTTTGATAGATGAAGTGCCTTAAAAAATAAAAAATAAAATATAGCTGGTTCAGTTGACCATTGAGTTCAGAACACTGGGGTTCAGGTGAACCAGGTTCTTGTCCATTGCTTGTCTCTTGTGGTGTAGAGCTGGCCCCTGTGAGGTGAAAGACATAATTTACCTTCTCAGAAATATACTGGCCACGGCCATACCACTATTCTATCAGACAGAGCAATACTTCTGCTATTACAGCCCAGTGACAGATTTTTCTTTGCAGAAAATGTATACATAATAAACATTTGGAACACTTTTAGCTGTTCATATCTTGGCCTTCTCCTGATGTGGGACTCAACTATGGAGTCAGTCAATGGAGCAGGGACAGAATGGCTGCCTGCAGATCCAGGATGTCACTGTAGTCCTTCATGACTTAGGCATGGACCGCCCATCCCAATTTTTTTTGGTATTGTTGACATAGGATATAAAGAAAAGTATCTGTACTTAATATCTCTAAAGTTTTCTTTTTTGTGATATATACATATATTAAGAATTTTATAATATGGTGGTAACAGCCATAGCAACAGTTTGAGGTTTCAAATTAATAGTTCAGCAGAAAGTGAAAAAAGATGTACATATATTAATAGGCCTACATACATTTCTGAGTTTACATTGTCTGTCCACAGGCGCCACAGCGAGAATATCATGAGACAGTTTGTTAATCTTGCATCTTTTATCAATATTTATTCAGCTATGGTGATTGGTCTTTAAGGTGGTTGTAATCCAGGGTTGACAGGAGAGCCCAGGACAGAACAGGCCTCTTTCTAGATCTCTTGATAGTAGTTGTTGGTCCTCCTTTTTGGCAACTTTTCAATTAAAATTGATTTCTCATGTCCCCCGATTTGATAATACATTCATAACAAACCTTCCACAAAGGCACAAGACACTAACAGCTCATAACGAGCTCAACATTTCCTCACGCCACCCAGCGTGTGTGTCTGTAATGCGGCATGGTACAAAAATGTTACTCTTTATAACTTTAAACAACAGCATTGCGGTATCATCTTATAGTATTTTTACAATATCGCCATCGATGCTAGCTAACGTTTGCTCGCGTTAGTTCGTCAGTTGATGCTACCTAGCTAATGTTACCTAACTCCCTACACTGTGTACACAGTATCTTCAAAATAATATAGAGCATGTTATTATTATTTCGATAACATTAGCCAAATGGGTTTTTACCTGTCTAGCAGAACATATACGAGATCAGAGTCTTTCTGTAGTTCTAGCTTGTCTCGAAGCCATCTCGACCTGGAAAGGCCTTGCCAATATTTACCCTTGTTTTAGCCCTCTTCCTGTCCAATAGTCTTCTTGGGTCATTTGGTTTACCCGTACACGTTTGCGCTTTACCGTGCTAACTGTAAACGGCGATCCGTAATCGTGATCCATCATGAGTTAGCAATACAAACAATATGCATATGGAATGAGGAATACACACATCAGAATGAAAAAACAAACAAACAGAGTTGCAAAGAAATTCACCGATTTTCTACTTCCCGCACTTTGTGACGCACCATCCGCCTCCTCCTTCTTCTTCTTCCTTTGGTTTGATTGGGAGTTGGCAACCGGCTTACAGGTGCCCTACCGCCACCTACCGGACGGTGGAGCATTAGATTGGCAGGAAAACAAATAAATGAAAAAAACAAACAAAAAAATCTATTTTGACCAGCTTTTGACGCACCATCCGCTGTATACAGTGATGATTCTGCTTGTAGCTACCGTTGGGTGCTTCTGTTCTTCGTTTATTGGTTTATTGGCGGTTGACAAACAACAAATTGGTGCATTACGCTACCAACTGGAATGGAGTGTGGATGAAACTATTTCCCATTATGTGGTAGTTTATTTTAATTTTTTCTTTTTTACCTTCACAACTTCTCATTACAAAAACTTTCTCTGTATATTGTGTCATATTGTGAGCTGTTTATGGCTGATTGCTATATTGAAGTATAGTGAAGCATTCCCTTTATACTTCCACATAGAATATTATGTTGGCTACTTCTTTTGTACAATTTAAACAAACATGTTTATTAGAAAAAAGAAAAAAAATTCTCCGGGTTTGAAAATTTTTGGAAACATTTTGGATAGTGTAAGTATACATCAACAAAATATGTAACATAAGTTTTAGACATTTAAATGCAGAAAAGTTACATGTTATACCCTTAAACAACTGCAGCTCTTATCATTGTAACACAATAAATAAAGATTTTTTTCTTTCCCCAAATAGTTTTATTATTGTATTCTATCAGTATGCGTTCATACAGACATGATACATTGGTCATAACTGATTTAGTTATACTGGTTAGTTAATAGTAGTTGGTTAGCAGTGGGGTTGGTGGTCACACAATGCTGTGGATCAATCAGTTTAACAAACAGCAAAGTCAAGAAGAGTGAAGAACTACAAGTGTGAAACAGGAGTAAAATACTATGATCACAGTGAGCAGCACAGTAGAGCAAAGCATTACAGGAGGTGTAGTTCTCCATGAAGATAAGATTGGCAGATTTTATCATCCATATGATGGTTTGAGTAAAAAAATTGGCCAAGATGTTTCTTTTATTAAATGATATCACAGCATCATGTGACCATGCAGCCATGGTTACAGAGACAATATGGCATGTTCGGCTGAACTCAGAACAGATTTCCATTATGATTTTCTCATAAGATTCACTTTTCCTTCATGTTTGAAAAGACAACTGCAGATTTTTTGGCTGAAATTACTAACGTGAAACTCCTTTAAACACTTTAAGTTTTTGGCAACTAAGAAAAACAAAGAGTACATCATGGCAACTTGACAGGGACAAACAGACATATCCGAGTCTTTTTAGCATCAAAACAACACAAGAGCAAAAAGGAAAAAAAGTCTCAGGTCATTAATTTGATTTTTTGACTGTTTTTATGTGTGTTGTCCCACGGTCTTCATCAGCAGATTCATCCCACTTATCTTTTTATTTATTTATAAATTTTTTGGTAAAAATTACTGTTTCCACTGAGTTCATCCTCAGCCACAACTCTGTATCACTGAACAAACTTTAGAAAGTAGTTTGGAGATCACAAGCTTAAATGGTGAGAATTAAACAAAGACGTTGTTCCCGTGAACTTTGGATGAAACCAGACTCATCATTTAATCGGTCTCTCTAGAAAACATTTAAAAAAAAAATAAACACCTTGACCATCTCTCTATTTCCTGGGAAGCTGATTTGGTCTGAAAACCGTAACCAATTCGATCCAAAAACAACCAAACAGTCTGAAGCAGCAGACACTGTTGCACCTCTTTATCTAAAAAATACACAGCTGATATGATCAACAAAATAATCTTAACTTACAGGCTTTTTGCAGAGCTTTCAACCATATCTCACAGTCTTTCATGATGTGGTTCCATTAATTTAGGAGGACTGGACGCTACAAAAACCAGCAAGTGGACCTTTGGCTTTGATTATTTTGTTACCCAGACTGTTCCCCAACCTCAGAGCTACAAATAATATGCACTTCAGATATTTGACTTCAATAAAGTGGGGCCTGAAAAAAGCCCTAAAAGTCCCTCAACATTTGACAACAAGGAGAAAAATAGAGAATTTTACTCTTACTCTGACTAAAACAAGTTAATTCCACAGCACAACTGCTCAGCTTTAGTGGTTAAAAGGTGACTTTAAATTATTTCTAAGCCGGTCACCCCTGTGGCTGCCACATCAACCACAAAGTGCAACGTTCAAGTCTAAACCGTTGTTTGCTGCTGTTTGTAATAAAGGCACAAAAAAAAAAAACAACAAGTTATTCTAAGTGATTTCAAGTTGTGGTGGATGAAGCATTGGCAGCTCTTTCACAACACTAACTGTGGCTTCGCTGCAGTAAACATGGCTTCTGACTTGTTTTAACACTGTGTGTTTGTGTGTAAATGTGTGTGCGTGTTAGTGTGTGTTTGCCAGTATCCCAGGCTGGAGGGGCCATGTCAATCAGAAAATAGTCTTTGGTACATAAACAGAGGACATGTTCAAACAGACTCTCGGTGTGGGATGGAGGGTTACCGTGGTTACAATTCCCAGGTACTCACATCATTGGTGACTGTTCTTAATTGTGAGTCCTAAAGTGTGTTCGGACCCAATGTAAATTTTCACCTGCAGAAGTGTTTTTTTTCTCTCCCTGTTTATTCACCATAAACAGTGAATGCACTGCAGCTGCAGCATCAACAAACCACCGAGAGTCATGACAGAACATGCCAGAAATATTCAGGCTGAAGCAGCTGAGAGTGACAAAGGCTACACTAGTCTACGGTAAGGCTACAATAAAGTTTATTATAAGGCTATAGTGGTAAAGCTATGTTAGAGAGCATATGATATAGTAAAGCTATGTTAATGGGCATATAACAACATTCATAAAACATTTTTCCAGCATTTAGTGCAACAGCAAAGTGCTAAGTATTGATACCTGATTATTAAAGCTAATCAGAGCCACACACACACACACACACCCACTCAGAGCTGGACCTGGGTGCATAGTGTCATCATGTTGCGAATGGTAATAAAAACAATTGATTATGGTGAGGTGCCTTGTCGCAGTTCCTCTAATGTCCACTAGATACTGTGGACAAAACTGTATCAATGTAAATGATAAAACTCCCAAAAGTCAACAGAGTTCACCTCTGAGCAGATCAGTAACCTCCTACTGTTACTATGGAAACAATAATAGAGAATGTAGAGCCAAAACTGGACGACAGTTGAAACTTTTTCTGTGTGTGTGTGCAGCTCTGTGACTTTTAAACACGTTGGTAAACACGTGATCTGCATAGTTAGCGTGGAAGCAGCAGAAGGAATATACAATCTATAATCTATAATCTTTACTACTTTATCATCATCAGAAAGAAGAATGTGATTATAAAAAAAAAAAAAATAGTGTGGGTTCCCCCTGGCATCCTGATTGGCTGACAGCTGAATGCTGCGTCATGATTGGCTGAGATTCCAGCAACACATTAGGTTGGTCCCTGAAGAGTGGTCGACTTGGTGGGTTGTTGGGCAGAGGAGAGGGTGAATGATGATGGTCTGAGCCTGGAATGAAATCAGGGTAGGCGTTCAGCTTTGTGGGGCATGCAGGACGCGGGGTTTAGGTCATGTGGGGCTGGGTTTAGGATTTGGCAGCAGCTTTAGGTTTGGGTGGTTCAAAGCCTCTCATTTTGAAATAAGAGACCAGCTGGTTGGGAACCTCAGCAAGGACAGACTGAGCCAGAGCCGTCTTGGGAGCCTAGACAGAGACGCAGAGAGAGGGGTTAACAGAGATGTGACGTTAGTATCTATTTGGTATTTGGTGCAGACTTCGGGAAAAAAAACCCAAGAGAGCCTTACATCTTTGAACTGTCTGTACGGGACAAACTGGACGATGTCTCTGGCGACGGCCTCGCCCACCGTCGACCTCAGCACACCGTCATCTCCATCCAGGAGCTCCATGGCCTTAAAGTCAGCTGGCCCCACCCCAACAATGATGATTGAAAGCGGCAGCCGCGACGCCCGGACAATGGCGTCCCGGGTCTGGTCAAAGTCGGTGATCTCACCGTCAGTGAGGATGAGCAGGACGAAGTATTGCTGCAGAGAGGCACAGACATAGGTCAAAGTCTGAGCGTGTGTTTCTGGTTAATTTCTTTGTGCATTTTTGTGTGTGTCCTCACAGAGGCGTTGTTGGCCTGCGTGGCGGTGGTGGCGATGGAAGCGACGTGGTTGATGATAGGAGAGAAGTTTGTGGGTCCAGACAGTCTGAGCTGAGGCAAAACCATCCTGTAGGCTTCAATGATCCCCTCAATACCTGAAACACACAGAGGTGAAGCAGTCAGAGATGAAAATAATTATATCTGTCGAGCAGCTGAAACAATCCAGGCAGATGTGACACTAGAAAATAGATATGTGTGTTCACATATCAAAGACTATCATATGAGATACAGACACCTTCTCAAACCCTCATTAATACAACCACACAACTGCATAGAAAATCTGACTTTAAATTGCTGTTATTAAGGCAATTTATCCGGATTAATTTTAGCTGCAGTCATTTCCCAAATAAAACAAACATTAGAGAAAAGTCCAAACAATAAACATGTACTGATGGAGCAGAACCCATTAATCATCTCACATCTTCTCAGATTCATCTATTGGCCCTTTGGAGGGAACCCGACCTTTAGGTTGGGAACTAAACTAAACTACCAAACTGTGTACAAAGTAGTTAAAACTAACTCCACCACGACCAGCTACAACAGTAAAATGCTGCTTATACATTAATGCATCACTATTAATAATCTAATAATGCCATATATAACAATATGTCTGGTCCATTTTTCTGCAGAACCAGTATTTCTACTTTTACTTGAGTTACATATTGAACAGAGGATTTTTACCTTGGCAGTAGGGGTTAGTGGGGTTGAAATTGAGGGCAAACTCATGGTTTGCAGCCTGCAAGAAAAATAACACAAAAGTTAAAAAAAACTTGAAAATCAAACTGGTGTTGTCATTCCAACTTTCAGTTTTCTAAACAGTCTGAACTAGGTCACATTTGAGGGTCCAATAAAACCTGTAGAGAACAATGTTGATTGGTCGGTTAGAGAACTGACCTGGTAGTCTGGAGGTAGTTTGGCTCCAAAACCGAACGCCGGGAAGAGTTTATCACTGAAACAGGAAACACAAAATAACCACTGTTACAGCCACAAAAATAAAAGCACTTTTTCTACTCGCTATGAAGGTTCAAAGTACAGAGTTTATATTTCATGCAGGAGGATTAAATGATTAAGAATTAGGGTTTACGGTATTAGATTCAGTGTGTGGAGTCCAAGATGTGGAACTTAGGGTTCAGGGTATAGGTGGAGAGTTTAAGTTTACAGCCTAGGGTTTAGGTTTAAGTTGTAGGATGAGGGATGAGGATTGTGTGTGTGTGTGTGTGTGTGTGTGTACTAACGTGTCGTAGTCCTGGATCACCTGACCCACAGACCACAGAGCAGACAGGTACTGGTTCAGCCCGTCTGGACTCATGAAGTGGAGAGAGTTGGGCGAACGGGGATCACCATTAGAGCCGGTGAAGTCGATCCCCACCTACAGCGTTCATACAACATTCATTTATCAATCCCCACCTACAAACATTCATTCATTCATTCATAATACAATTAAATTGTTCACATGGAAAATCACTTCATAAATTGTGTTTTTAATGCATCAATTAATTAATTGATTATTAATCATTTCACTGATAAGACAACAATGTGTTTATCTGATTGTGTGTGTGTTGTGTGTGTGTGTTGTGTGTGTGTGTGTGTGTGTGTGTGTGTGTGTGTGTGTGTGTGTGTGTGGATATTGACGCACGGTGAAGTTGATCTGGCAACCGCCCATCACATAGTCCAGGAAGGTGTACTGAGTCAGCATCTGCAAACACACACAGAAGCACAGCGGCACAGATAAATAAAAACACATCACTCACGAGTTATGGTTTCACTGCCTAAAGTGAATGTTTCGATTAAAGGACTATTTTAGCACAATTAACAGACCATATACAGACATAACTATTATACAATATTTTGCCCTCCATTTACAAAGCAGCGACTCCCAGCAGGGAACTCTGGGTAACATAGTCTCTACCTTGCAGCTTTTCACAGAGACGACTCCAGAGTTCTTGTAGCTCTTCTTCTTCTTCTGTTTCTCATGGTGGATGCAGTCAAACTCCACCTGGAAAACACCACATCATACAGTTTAGTGACCCTCCAACCAGCTGATTGAAACACTTCAGATACTTTCTCATGAGTGAGCTCACCGGTGAACCATGTGCAGCTTTCTGCAGCTCAGAAACTTTTGTGGTGAAAGAACCAATCAGATCATGAGATCCATCACTGTCATGATCAGAGCAATCCACCTGCAGGAGGAGGAGAAGTTTTAATATAGAAGTTTTGATGTAAGATTTGATTTGATTGGTCGTTGTGAATAGATGATTCTGATTGGTGGAACCTTCAACGGTCTGTCGAGGTCGCTGCCGCAGAACGTCTGCAGAGGAACACAGAACTTCTTCCAGCAGGGACTCAGATTGTTCTTCACCACCTGCAAACACACACAAATCATAATTTTCACCATCATCTTTATTGCAGTGACATCAGCCTGTGTGTGTGTGTGTGCTCAAAAACAACCCTGTCCGGATTACATGTACAGCTTTATAATGCGTGTGCATGTGTACCTCTGTCCTGTGGACCAGCTGCCACTTTCCACCGTCTCCTTGTTTAAAAAACTCCAGGAATGGATCAGACTTCCCGAACATGTCCTGAGCAGATAAAAGACAACACGCTTCTGTCTCATTCACTGTGAGGACTTTCTTTAACGTCATGTAAACAAGAAACCTGTTTCTGTAATGAAGGTCGGGATCAGAGAAACATCATTCCTCCAGCTAGAATGTAAATTTCTCCTGGACAATGTGGATTTCTTGACCATTAAAACAGGTAAGTAAGAACAGTAGCAGGAAAAGACGGAGGGACTTAAGTGAAATCTCTCTGCACTCGTCTTGATAAGAGGATGTGATGTTATGATTCTGACGTGGGAAACAAATAAATATTGATCGGAGAAATTGCAAACTGTAAAGAGTGGGTGAGAGCAAGATTACGGTTTATTGCCTGGCACTGTGATGTTGGGCTAAACATGGTCTCGAAACACACAAGAATAATTAACAAGAATAAGAAAAACTAAACATTTACAGGGTCAACTACATGACGGCTTTTTCGAAGAGCTGGTGAAACACAGCCCCGAAGAGGTGGAGGTGAAGAAGAGGATTAAGAAAAGTCGGAAGATGAGGAGGAGGAGCAGAGTTACCTTCTTGTCAAGGTTTTTAGCCTCCAGCTCAAGTTCAATGGCTCTGTTGTCCTTTATCTCCTCTGCAGAGACCTACAGACACAAAACAGACACACACACGTTATGGTTTTGATCACAGATTCCCCATGGGTACAAAGTAATATTTATGTTAATTAATAAAAAATTGGTCATAAATTGAATTAAAGGTTCTAATTTTGATTTTAACCCCCCCCAAACACACACACACACTACATACAGTGATGGTTCCTTTCCCTGCAGGTTTGCCTTTCTTCAGCTGCAGAGGTCTGCTCACACTTTTACTGGAAACTATCTGAAAGACACACAGAGGAGATTTTTCTTCAGCCGTATCCATGACAACAGTCTCCCATCCTGTGTCAGTACTGTAGTGACAGAGGCAAAGGAGCTTTGGATAAAATAAATGGAGCCCATTTAAGCTTTAGAGACAGTGATGACACTGTTTGTCCAGCAGGGGACAGTGTGGACCTGAGAGACATTTATCTACTGAACCTTGTGAGGGATCTCTGTCAAACCTGTTTATTATATATTTATCTAAAGACCGATTATGAAATGATAAATCATCATATATGGGTCAAGACTGCAGCAGGCTGAGAAGGTTTCACTTGTTTACAAAACAAACAGTAGATTTACAGTCAAGTTTTCAGAGATCTTGTTTCAACATACTGACATATTTGTGGAAAACTGGAAATACAAAAGGCTGAAGATGAGACTGAACTCAAGTTAAGATGGATGATTGTGAAGACAGATTCGACAGAATTAGTTTGACTTCCACGTAAAAATGTATCCAGCTCAATATCAGCATCACTAACAGAAGCATACAGGGAAGCTTAACAACCATTAAAAGCAGCCTGAGGAGCTGACACACTGCAAGGACTTAGACTGAGCAACAACAATGATCATGTAATTTTACTGAATGTGCAATATGGGTCTAATAAAATCTTGGATTCAATCTGTGTCAGACTTCACGATGACAGTTTGGGGCATGGAAGATAATTAATGCCTGGTGAATCATAGTCTTCGGTGTGAATGTAAAAAAAAAAAACTAAATGAGAGCAGAGGCCTGTCAATACTTGATGTTCCATCTGCAACACTCATGCTTTGACAATGCAGCTCCACCAGGTTTTCTTCTTTGCCAGAGACAAGAGTCAAACCACTCTTCTTTGGCTGATTTGTGTCAGTGTGTGCCTTTTTTTTTTTTTTTTTTTTAAATCAAAAAATGGAAAGTAGGAAATGTCATGGTGACTAGTATATTTTGCATGATTTCATGTTGTATTCTGATTGGCTGCTTGTCACACTTTGAGAATTTCTGACAATGTCTGAATTTCATCACAGGTTGTCCTTTGGCCGCAAAAGCTACCAATCAGCTTTCAGTGGATATGTCTCACAGTGAGATGTAGGACGACCATTTTGGACTGATAACCACAGATAGACGGATACATAGATTCATGTGTCCATTAGCACATTGTTGATGATAATAATAATAACAATTAATAATACATTAATCTAATTAAACCTGGTCTGGTTTGGTGCATACCTGCCCCAGTGTTAGCTCAATCCCTCCCAGGTAGTCATCGTCGCCGAGGTCAGAGGTGGAGTTGTCGATGTCGTAGATCCCCAGCTTCAGATTCTGAACTGTCTCAAAGTGATAATCCAATCTGAGACGCTGACTGAAGGACGGACTGGAGGTGTTCTTCAACCGCTCAGTACGAGCCAGCTGAGAGACAGACAGGGGGGTTTTTTATTTTATTCTATTTATCTCACATATCTCAAATATTATACTAAGACCCATGTATCTTGTAGTGTGACTGCCATGTTACCTCAGTCCAGCTGTCACCTCCTGTCTTCTGCAGCAGCACACACAGAGGATCAGACTTTGAGCCGACATCTTTATCCAGCAGGTCAGAACAGGAGACACTCAGCTCCACCTTTGTGACGCAGTCCGCCATCTGAGGGGGGGGGGACAGAGAGAGACCTTTGGATCAGGATTCAGGAGATTAACAGTCTCACAACAGATTGCTCATTTAGTCGTATAGAACAAAAACAAACAGCTTCATCGATTGGAAAACTGTTCAAAATGTAATGATAAACTGTTTGACAGACAGCGGAGAGCTAACACCTCGGACTCATTAAATTAAGACATCTTCACGTCTTTTACTGAAGAGAAAGAGAGGTACAACATGCAGTCACTGACACTGCTACTGTTTTATCGCCTTTGTTCTCTGCAGTGATGGAGCATCCTGCAGATAAGCTTCACCCATGGCTCAAATAATTCCATAATACTTACTGTAAATACTATGTACAAGTTATAATAGTACTGCTTTTGCAATTAGGTTAAAAGGATGGGCTTGTGCTTCCTGTTCAATAAATACTAACAGGAAATTATGCAATATATACATAAGCATTGTATCCTCATAAACATTTCCGTTGCACATTACAGGAAAAAAGTGCTCATCAACAACAAGTTCAAATATCAAGTGCTTATTTTCCCCAGTGTGAACACGTAACAGACTAAAAACCTGAATAATACTAATTGAGCTGAGACACAGCTTGTTGCTCTGCTCGGGTGAAACCACATCCAAGTACTTGCGCAACCAGCTACAGTGGTCCTATAAATATGTCATCATGTCACAACAACAACAACAACCAACACAAACCAGCATTTACTACCACATGTGTAACAGATGAGTCCTGAGCGACATCAGATGGAGTTAGAGACAATCCGGTGAACCTGAGGGTTATTGGATTATACATGTATGACAAAGACAAGCAGCAAATCATCATATTTGAGAGGTCGGACCCAGTGAATGTTTAATCACAGTGTCAAAATTGTTGCTGGTTTATTTTCTGTCTATCAGCTAGTTACTTCATTGACTAATCGTTGCCTCTCTAACGACATTTATTAACCAAGAACTACAGCCACAGACCATCACTGCAGTGTGACCTGCTCAACAATGAATCCAAACAAACTTCTTTATGATTCTTCAACCTTCACTTTGCACTAAACCAACTCATGTCACCGTCACTTCACCGTTGCACCACAGTAATAAAATCAGAGTCGTGAGGTAGAAAATATTGATCTGGAGTCAGAAGAGCTCTGTTCTTTTCACTTCCTCCCATTCAGCTTGCCCTTCTACATTGAATTTTACCTAACATTACAATGTGTCACTCACTCTCCCTGACAGTCTGTTGAGATAAAACTGTATGACTACACAAATTTATCCTCTCCACATGCAAAGGAAGCTGCCGATCCTCCAACGGACACAGCTGCCGCCTCAGAGAATCTCCTTTTGACAGCAGCTTTAAACCAGGACTGTGCTCTCTGTATGATGTTATGGGAAATGAACTCTCATATGGAGACAGGATAGGGTCAGTGTTCTTATGTGTAAATAAATACAAGTTAAATTTGACCAAAAACAGAGATGGAAAATACTTAAATTGTAAATCACTGATAAGGATATATCTGATTATATAACATATACAAAAATTGATTATTATTGCATTATTGTCCTTAAACATAAAGACAATCATCACAATCAACTGAAGTTAATTTACCCAACAACCAGTGGTTAAGTTATTTGTATTATACTTTACTCCATTACATTTCCATTGCATCAGTACTAATAATCCAATTGTCCAATGAATAATAATGTAAAAATAACAGAGCCTATTTTGTGAAATTAATTTTACTTTTTTACTGTAAGTATATTTTGTTTATAATTCTTACATTTTTTAATTAAAATTGTGGTGCAATTGCTTTAATTAAAATTAAAAAGCTACTTTTAATTGAGTAAAAAATCTGAATATTTCTATTACTGCTGAAATTACTGCTGGATGAACAGAGCAAACAACTTTAGGTTTAGGCTTTTTCACTTTTATGCTTCAACAGCGCAGAGTGCATTCATTTTAGGAATTCATTCCCATTCCTGTGGATGTCGTATGTTTACCTACGCACCATGAGCACCTGCTTTGAGTTGTTAGATCCAAGCAGTGCCTCTGACAATAATTTTTTAATAATCTGACCATTCTTTTCTCAAGTAACTGTAAAAGAATAGTAAAAATTGTCCATCACAGGGTGACATCTCCAAATATCTTGTTTTGTCTGATCAACACTCCAAAATCCAAAGATCTTCTGTTTAAAATTATATAAAAACGGAGACAAACAGCAAAACCTCACATTAGAGAAAACTACAACCAGAGAATGATTTAAGTTTTGTTTAATAAATTACTTTTAATCAACAATTTATTCTTCTTTCAACAGATTGAAAGACAGTTTCTGCAGTGGACGTGGCTGTAGTTCATTATATTAATGGTTCAATTTCCTGTGTTTCCAAGTGTGAGCCACACCTCACCTTCAGCAAACCACAATCATCCCTGATATAAACACAGCCATCATGGACTTTTAGTCACTCACCTTAACCCAAACTTCCTATTTTCTGGCAAAAGCTCTGCTGGGATCCTGAAGTACACCTAACAGTTTACTGATCAAATCAAATTCGATGCTTTCAGGTGACAGATGAAGAGTTGCTGAAATGGCGCTAGTGGCGTACCTGTAACGGTTTTCTTCTCAAATTGAATGTACTGAGTGAGCAGCACCTGAGGGGATGACCACCGTGAGATTGAATGAAGATTAACTAAAGCTGTAAAACAAGTCAGCCAGTTCAACCAGCACAGTTTGCCAAACACACACCAGTGCTCTCTCTCTCTCTCTCTCACACACACACACACACACACACGCACACACACACAAACACACAGATGGAGCACTGTGTCAATATAAACTTTGTAAATCACCTTTTCAGGGTCGTTGTATTTTATCCGCTTCAGACCACCAGGAACAAACAGCAAGGCGGAGGACAACTGCTCAGAGTCCGACACAGGAAGCGAAACCTTTTCAGTCCGAGCAAACTGGCCTGAGAGTACACTAACCTTCACCTGACCACTCTGTTAGACTTAATACAAAGATTCACCAAAGCTGAAAATTGTTACTTAACTGTCACTGAGGCAGAAAACCGCCGTTTATCACCGTCCAGCAGCTTTAGCTAACAGGGAGCGGCTGACAAACAGAGTGCACTCTGATTGGACAGGCAGTCCCATAACCGCGTCTTGATTGGACCAGATGACTGTCAGTCACGCCCTCTGGGTTCAGAGACTGGCTGACGGTTTTCTAGTTTTTCAAAACTAGCAGCAATTACGGTACAACTTCCGACTAGACTCCTTCAGAATAAAAGCAGCAACAACAAATTAACAAGCATAAATAAAGCATCGTTCCTTACAGCAGGATTGATGTAATAAATCAGCTTGAGGGAGGTACTTTGCTACTTAGGATAAATGGCAGTTTATGAAATATATATATATAAAATAAAACACACAGTCAATGATCCTTAATACACAAAATATGAGAAAATTGCATTTATTTAGGCATGGAAGATGTATTTTTGTTATGTATGCATCACAAACTCCTTCTAGCCAGCACTTTGCATCACACTACAGGCCAGTATTTAAAAAAAATCTATCAGGAGGTGGGGTGGGTGCAACAACAGTGGCAAAAAGAGAGGCTACTGGAGTCTACCAACCTTAACCATCAGTGCGTCTACAACTTATTTCATTAGCCTCTGAATAAGGAATGCTGTCTACAAGGCAAAGCAAGCTACTGGGGCCATAAAGCCAAGGAGAGCACAAAAACAAGAATACAGAAAAAAACAGAGAAAAGGCCAACAGGAAGTAGGATCAAAGTGGCAGATTTTTTTAATGACACTAGTTAATCCATGGTCCTTCATGTCTTTCCAGTCATGGAAAGACTGATGAGATCAGATGTAATGACAGATGAGAGGAATGACATGATTTACAGTCCAAAATGAGATAATTTCAATCTTGTCGCTAAGAAAACACACCATGATACATATATATTAAACTACAGGTATTCTGACAAATGATTCGTATCCACATCAGCTTTACAAGGTACAGTAGGTTAATGATATAGTATAGATGTCCATAATATAGACCAGCAGCATTTTTGTACATTTGATTTGTCCATTAACAAAACAAAATTAACTGTACTGTGTTCAATTTAGACACTGCGCTGGCCGGCTGATTTCCAGCCTATGTACAGCTTTACATGTGTAAAATAGAACTTTGTATATTTCTTATTTTTATGTATTTGTAAGACCCTTTGCTTCTGGCCCAATGTCAGCTGAGATTGACTCCTTCATTAAGATTTCTTTCAGAGAAACCTACTGTTCTCAGTGTCTAGAATGAACCTTCACCTTCTTAGAGCAGAGGAAAAACAGAATAAACCGAACACAGAACAAGCCATCTTCCTCACAGAGAACAACACAGTTTAATTTTATTCATCCTTTGCAGCAAAACCACAGTGGAATCAAAAAAAGCTGCAGAGCATCACATCAGGAATGAGAAACAGAAAAGGAAAGACCAAAACACAGAAGAAAGGAAGAAAGTACAATTATGAGAATGAAAAAAGGAGCATAACGTAATGATGTACTGTAATGTTGCACCCTGAAAATCACTAACACACACACAGAAACACTCAGCTCCTGTCTTGGTCGTCTTTGGCATCATCATCATCATCATTTCATCCTCATCGTCTTAAGATCCACCTCCCAGAAAAAAAAACTGCTCTCATGCTCTTAAGTTCTTCTGAACTTTCCTTTCTCCATCTGTACCAACTCACTTTGTTTGGCTAAACTAAACTTAACCCCATATAACCTATGACCTTTTGGGGAAATGTGTGTAAAATGATACAATGGATCTGAATAACAACATACAGTTTCATTGAAGGACTGAAAAAAACTCATACACAGGATATGAAAATGTCTAACTGATTTTAACAACCTTAACCTACTTAAGTGGAAGCTGTGTGTTATTCAATTCTTCATACTTATTTTATTCGATATTCATCATGTAACCATCCATCTGCCTGATAAATGAGGAGAAGGAAAAGTTTGACAGAAAGGAAATACTCTAGTAAACTACAGTACAAGTGCATCATAATTGTATTTCAGTACAGATAAGTAGCGCAATGACAATCATCTATTATATCTATGGTCCATCAGCTACTACAACATCTGCACAAGTCAGCAGAGAGTAGTAATTCATCATAATTTGGTCTCTCAGCCTATAATGTGGAGAACAATCTCCTCCTGTGCTTTGAGAGCGTGTGGACAGCCCGTAGTGCTGAAATCAGGTCCCACATGAAAAAAGTTAAACAACACTATATCGCATTAACGATCAAATAATCTGATTTATCAACAGTTTAGTTGGAAAGGCACAAACTACAGGTCAATACTGAGCTACTGCACAGGTCGGGACCTGCACTGAAGCTATGGTGAGAAGAAATTAAAAATCAGACCAAAGTATTTAGCCTAAAATATGCTTGGAATTAAATAGCCAAACAAATAATGGCCATTATCTGTCCTTTAAACGCTACCATCTACCGACTACAATGTACTGTCTATAGTCTATCTATCTACAGGTTACCATCTACCAATTAAATGCTATGATCTACAGGCCTCTATCCACCATTTACATGCCACCATTTGTCATCTATTGACCACCACCTCGACATAAACGCTACAGGCCATCCTCTACTATCTAAACGCGACCATCTCCATGTCACCATCTAATATTTCCATTTGCCATTTACAGGCCACCATTTGCTCTCTACAGGCTACCACTTACTGACTACTATGCAGGAGTGGACAGTAATGAAGTATTATTTTTTTGGAAATGTATTACTTTCTCTCCAATATATTGTACTTTTGAATCCACTACATTTCTATGGCATACTTGCTGTTACTATGCTGTGTTCGTCACGCTGTGTTTGTCACAGGAGACAAACCAATTACAGGCACCTCTCTTTCCGTCAGTCATGTTGTGCTGCTGCATTTTTGAACAGCTCAGGTCTAACGATGGCTTCGTTAGATAAAGATGAGGCAGAAGACTCTTCACCAGAGCACCAACGGCCTTATCTTAAATCCATGTTTGAAATTTTAGAAAAAAGGAAAGATTCCTCTTGTTTTAAACGTTTGCTGTGTTTGCCAAACTTCATCACTGTCTAACAAAAAGAAATATAAATTCAAGTTACTAATGCTTGCCTTCAGTGTAAGTCCTGGGTCTGCACCCATCTACTTGAATTCAGTCATACATGCTTATGCTCCTTCTCAGCTACTGCGTTCCTCCAAGGAATTGTCGTCTGGCACTGCCATCCCTGCACACAAAGCAACGAAGTCCAGACTGTTCTCATCGGTGGTTCCCTGATGGTGGAACAAGCCATCGAATGCTATAAGAGCAGCGGCGTCCCTCTCTGTCTTCAAGAATCTCTTCACCATCTCATCTCTTCCAAGCGCTCCTCCTGCACTTATTAAATAGATGTAGTACTTAATACTTTCGCCAAGGTCTCCTATTGCACTGAAGCTTTAGTGATGTCCCTCCCTTGTAAGTCGCTTTGGATAAGCGTCTGCCACATGAGTAAATGTAATGTATGGCAAAAACAACAATGGCTGTACTTTTGTTGATTCAATTGTATTTTTATGGCCATTTCTACAGGATTTGTAGCTTATTCTATAAGCTTTCCATTGTGCGGTTTCTTCAGGTTTTTTCTGAGTCATTAAGTTCTGTAAATCCACTGTGGAACAATACAACAATGCATTTACATAAAAATATGACTTTTGAACTCTTAAGTATTTTTAAAAGGAAGTACTCCAGTACTTTAACTTTGACCGAACTACCTCTGCTACTATGTACTACCCACAGGGTGCTATTTACCAATCAAATGCTACCATCTACAGACCAGAATCCACTAGTTAACATGCAAAATAACTGAGCATTATCTACTGTCTACAGGGTATCATCTACCAACTCAAGATTTCTTCCATTCAAGGTGAATCTAATATTATGGATGATGATGGTCTACAGGCTAGTGAACATTTAAAGGCCATTGTTTTTATGCTACCCATCATTTTTCTAATGTTTGAAATGGAATATCTCTGTGTCTGTCACTCACCTGTAAGTCCTGCTTCCTGTCTGTCTATTGATCAGTAGGAGAGGGGACCTCAGCAGGTGAATGACTGACAGTGTGAGTCATTCAGCAATAATTCTACCTCTGTCCCACACACTCGCTTCACACTCCCGTCCTTTGCAGAGGCCAAAATCTGTCATCAGGATTTTTCTTTTATTCTACTACATTTTTTTCTGCCTTTTTTCCCCACACACAAGGTCCACAACACACACACAGTCAACTATACCAATAATCAGACAGTGTTTCATTTCACTTTATTGAGACCTCGCCCACACAAACACACACTTCAACATTGCATGCACAACCAGTGCTTTGGTATCAGTGTACCAGTTTGGAGGTTAACCATTTCCTGAAAGCAGCAGATGTTTCCTCTTCAGACAAAACTACCTCTATGGATGTTTCTGCTATATGGTTCAGTACTAAAATATTAATATAAAAGACTTCATGTGTGCACTAAATAGAGAGGCCTTATTTTAAATCTGCACATCACATACACTGAGAGCAGCTGAGGTCACTAATAAGATTAGGACCATTAATCAATGAAATCAAAACTTTAATTGTTTATGATACCCTTATAATTATCTGTGATTAAATAATGTTGTTAAGTTACATTCTGTAATGCCCTTCTTCCTTTCTCCTCTGTCATCTTTGCTTCATTCTTTTTGTTCTGAGATGAAGAAACAGGAAGGACTCCACAACGAACCCACTTCAATTGAATAAGAGGGACAGAACCTGTTATTCTTATAAGATGACATTTGTTTCATCCCAACAACCAATAAACTATGTTTACATATACCCAATCATTAAATCCTTACCTCGGGATAAGTGACCGAAAAACCTTAATATGAGCATCATTTCTCTATGTGAGCACTGTCTTTAGAAAATTGGATGATTAATTTGCTCACCATTGAGCCCTCTGAAAGTTTTAGTGAACTACTCTTACATTCACCTGCAGTAGGCTACTTTTGCTTTACCTCACCATGCATTACAGGAAGCCCAAGCTTCGACAGTAGCAATAGCCACTTG